CTCTTTTATTCAGTAGACATTTCTAAGTACTCACCTAACCATGTGGGAGAATGATAGAGAGTCGACACTCTCAGGAGGTAATTCAGAAATGAAGAGAAAATTCCAGCGCTCAAGGATATGTGTTGGGCTAATGAAACTAGAAGGCACTACAGGAGTTTGGAGGAGGAATAATCTAAACCGGAGGGATTAGGGAGGTGTCCAGGAGTGGGTGTTACCTGTGCTGAGTACCAAAGGACGAAATGACAGTGATCCAGTCAGGAAGGGGTGAGGCAGATGGCTTTCTCAGTAGAGAGGAGAGCACATGCCCGTGCTGGAGATGAATGTTCCAGGAACTATCACTCACTAACTAGATCTGACTATAGATCAGATTCTGAGTGGAGAGACCAGAGCTAGAGACATTCAAGGCCACATCACAAGAGGGTATGGATATTTCCCTAAAGTTACTGAGGGATCCCTGAAGGTTTAAACCGGGGAATGGAAAGATCAGGTTTTCAAACAGAAAGATAAATCAGCAGTGGGAATTTGACTGACTAAAGGAGAGGAGTGGCAGGAGGCACTGTGGCAACGGAGGAGGCTGTGGAATCATAAACAATGAGAAGTGAGGGTTTGTGGTCCAAGGCAGAGAAGGCAGAACAGAGAGGAAGGAATGGATTCTGAAGACAAAGGAGGAAGCACAGTCTGAACTTGGACAGGAGAAGCAAAGGAAAGCTCTGTCTCAGGCCATGGGGATAGGCAGACTAGGATTAGGAGTGAGACCCAAGGTAGAAGCACCATGAGGAGGCCTGGGAAGCTTTGCCATCTGGGGACTTAATGGTTTGGGGATGCCTAAGTAACCCCCTAGGATGTGTCAAGTTGACTGGCTGAACATACAGATGTAAGAAATTAATATCTTAAAGTTTTAATTTTCTTCTTCTTCTTTCCTGAGTGTTCTTACCATTTTCCTAGCCAGTCTGCAGCATTCATGTGGCCTCAGAGAGAATTAGAATGCAATATTAGTAAAGAAAAGAGAAAAAAATTATTAATACTGCTTTTTTCCTTTCTTTTCTTTTTTCTTGTTAAACTTCCAAACTAGGTCCTTGAGAGTCAAAAGACAAGGCCCAGGCCATCTGGTGGTACAGCTGGTGGCAAACTGAATTGCAGAGTTGGGAACCACGTGGCCCACCATGGGTTTGGATTACCCGAGCTGGCTTAAAATCACATACAGGGTGCATGCATATGTGCCCAAGATTCCAATGAGTTGGAAGGCCAGGGAAGGGGGATCCACCCACCTTTGATAGGACCCTGATAGGATACTTCTCTCTGTCTTTTTCCCTTTCTCTCTCTTGCATGGCTGCATTTCACAGGCAATAACATTATACTTGTGAAGTTCAGATGTTTTCTATGTATCACCTCTTGGGGGGGTACTTTTATGGTTATAAAATGGGATCAGGATCGTTTTAAGTATAACCATCTTTATTGTTCAGGCAAGAGTCTTCGTACTTTTGGCCTCATCTTACACCCATGTCAATAATCTCACCTCCCTAGAGTTTCTTTTCACAAGCAATGGCTCATTAAGAAGCACTGAGGCTCCGGCTTTAGATAGGATTTTATTAGCCAGTAAGAATAGAAATAGAGGACTTGTAAAAATGTTAAGACTTAATAAAAAGTATAGAACATTACAGATAGTTTTTTAAAAGATGGTTGGGCTCACCCCATAGCCCAGTGATGAAGGGGGCTGAATCTCATATGGCTGACTATAATCATGAGGAATATTCCGAGTGCATGTACATGTGTACCCCAAATCCCGGCAGGATAGAAAAACAGAAGAGATGAAATTGTGGCTTGGCCACATCCCATGGGAGGTGCTTTCTCTTTCTCTCTCTGGAGAGAAAGAGAACATGCCCCCTGGCGATGAAAAATTTTAAAAAAGAAAGACAGAGAATGAGACCTATAATATTAGGTCTTCAAGAAAGTCATGATGACGGGAACCAGCAGTTAGTGTAATGGCTACGTCACTGGACTCCCATGTAGTCAACCGTGGTTCGCATCCCGGACCCAGTGGCTTAAAACTCGTGCCGGGTGCATGTGCATGCATGCCCAAGATCCTGAGAGGAGAATGGAGGAGAAGGGATTGTGGTGTGACCATCCCCCCTGGGGGGTGATTTCTCGCTTTCTGTCTCTATGTCTCTCTCTGTCTGTCTGGCGAGCGCACGTGCCCTATAGTGAAAATCTCTCCAAAAAAAAAAGAAAGTCATGATGCATTTTTGCATAGAAAAACATGTCATGACTTTTCAGATGACCTAATATGCCTCTACAGAAAATAAAGAGAAGGTGAGATGACACACCATGCTTCTATTTTTGGGAGAGGGTTCTCAAACAATGGCAAGACCCTGAAGATAGAGGTGTGCTTGTGTGTGAGACAGGGAAGAATGAAAGAGAATTTGAGAACATGTATTAAAGAGGAAGTCTAAGTTCAACATGGGTTTTAACCTTGGCCTTGTCAATTATTAGCTCTGTGACTTTAGGCAAATCTCTCAGTGCCTCATTTTCCTCATTTGAAAAATGAGGTTTACAATCATAGTAACTTACAACACAGAGTTGTAGTGAGAATTAAATGAATCAATAATGTAAAACAATTGAAATAATACCTGACACAAAATAAATGTTAAGTAAGTACTTTTTTTTATTGTGCTTTGCTTAAAGAAAAAATGTTTATCAGAGAGGGTGAAGGTAGAAGAGGATAGCAGTGATTTGGATACAGAATGGAAGGAGGAAGGTCAGTATCTTGTTCCCCTGGAATTTGATATTGGGTGGTCATGAGGTCTATGGAAGCACCACTCTCATAAGTAGATTAACGATGTTTCTCCAGACTCAGGGAGTTCTAGCTCTCACGAGGAAGGATTTGTCCTGGCCAAGAACTAGTTGTTATAAAAGAGAAACAGCTGCCTACGCTCACTCTCTTCACATGCCCGCCATCTTCTGTGTTTCTGTTGTTTGTGCTATAGGCTTACACCTGTGGACTTTCCTGTTACCAGAATCATGAGTTTTGCAAAAAAAACCTTCTATTGTCTTAAATTTACCTGGTCTCAGAAATTTCAAGTAGAGAGCAATAATGGACTAAGACAGTCAGTTTCAGAGTACTGTGGGCTACTAATCATTGTAGGATAGAGGAGAAAGACCTTTTCTCCTGAAAAGAGACCATGGGAGATGGTCTAAGATGGAGATGACTTTGAAAGGTGGAAGGCGAGCCCAAGTCTGTCTAATGACTTTTTTAAAAGAGATTTTTGCCTTAGAGCATGCATGTTAGCTGGGAAGTGAGAAGTCACCCCCTGGGGAGATGGCCATGCTGGCAATCCCTTCTCCTCCATTCTCCTCCTGAGATCTTGGGCATGCATGTACATGTACCCAGCGTAGTTTTCAAGCCACTAGGTCTGGGATCCTAACTGTGGTCTGCCATATGGGAATGCAGCAACGTAACCACTATACCATCTGCTGGCTCCAAATGATTTATATTTTATTTTGAACAGCTAATGGGGGAGGAGACAAAATGTACTACCTGTTTTTGTTCTTTCCATCAAAAAATTGTACTTCATGATTATAAATAAAGATGCACACAGAAGCACCCATTTCTTTTACAGATCTGTAGACAGTGGGCCAATACCCATATAAAACATACCCCTAAATAGGCTGGTAAACTTTCTGAAGTTTTGAAATAAAATAGGCAGTGAAGTCAACAAAATTTATTTCACCAGAAAAGTACAGTTACTATGTATGTGTATGGGTACATGTATGTGTGCCGTTGCCACTATGTGATCAAAGTTCTTATTAAACAATCTAGGTCCAGACTGAGTGCTGATTTTCCCCAAACTGTGGAAGAGGTAACCCTCTTTTCAATGTCCAGCGCTGTTGTTTGCACTCCTCTCAGGGAAGTTCCTCATTCTTTTGCATTACGGGGTGTGTGTGTGTGTGTTCTTTCCCACCCTTCACCCCCTAGCAGACTCTGAAAACCTCCTGAACAATTCTGTGACTTAATGACCTCCTGGTTTCTTGTAGCACCAACAATAATATATCTTATGAAATGGACATTCAATACACACCTGGCACTTAGTAAGTGCTTTAATTACAAGAACTACCTTTTTTTTTTTTTTTTTTATTTTCTTAAGGGGGGCACATGTGCTTTCCCGGGGAAAAGAGAAAATTAAAAACCCCCCCCCCCCCCCAGGGTTGATGGCCCCACACACTCCCTTTTCCTCCATCCTCCCAGGATCCCAGGATTCTGATTTATTTTTTGAGAGGTTTTTGCTATAGGGCGTGCGCTCACCAGACAGACAGAGAGAGACAGAGAGACAAAAAGGGAGAAATCACCCCCCAGGGGGGCTGGCCACGCCGCAATCCCTTCTCCTCCATTCTCCTCTTGGGATCTTGGGCACGCACGCACACGCGCCTGGCGTGACTTTTAAGCCACCAGGTCCGGGACGCAAACCGCGGTCGACTGCGTGGGAGTCCAGCGACATAGCCATTAAGCTAACTGCTGGTCCCGTCCAGGATTCTGGACACGCACACCGTCAGCGATTTTCAGGGCGCAGGTCTGGGACCGAACTACTCAGTCCGGTGTGAGAGCCAGCTTCCCTGACACTTGCTGGGCCTCACCCTAAAGTGAGTCTTTACATTTGAAGCTATAGTGTTTGGAAGCCACATAAGCCTGTAATAAAATGTACATAATAATCATTACACATTCTGAACACAGATGCGTGTGTTCGGGAACACGTTTCACCATCGAAACAGGCGTATGTTCTTTTTAGCCAGGATTTGTTCCTCCGGAGGGCTGGCGGTGGCTTTGACACCCAGCCTGTCCTTTCCAGAGCTTTTCTTGAGCGCGTTGGCTCTGAAAGCATTCCCATCTGGCAGTAAATACCAGCGGAACCTCCCGAAGTACCCCAGGGGCGGGAGGAGGAACGGCGAACTCCGCGTGGTGTGTCCTTCGCGCCACCCGTAGTCCGGAGCCGACGCGCGGCGGCGCGGGGCCGTTTGAAAGCCAGGAGCGTTTGAATCGCAACGGCCGTTCCCGAGTGCTTGTGTTGCTGCTTGGGCCGCCGAGGCAGCCACGGGGTTTTGAAGGCCTCTCGGGCCCGACCTCTCGTCACCTCGGTCCTTTTCTGCCAGGACGTTCTGCTCTGGTAAGGGGCAGCTTTTTGCAGGCGGAGCCGAGCGCCCAAGCCGAGATCTCTGCGGTGACTTTAGTGACAGGTAAGGTGGCCTTAGTTACAGCTGGAGAGAGTTTCAACAGCTGCCCGGTTTCAGCTCCTGGGGATAAACAGTCTGTGTCCGGACCCCCAGGAATCCTGTCGAGGGTGTAAAGAACCTTAGAAATGATCCGATCCAAACTCCTTTTCCTTTACATGGGACTCTGCTTCTATTTGCTTCCCTTTCCTATCTTCACTTTTTTTACCCCCATTCTTTGATTTTTCTTCTGCCTATCTATACCTTAGCTTTGGTTATATTTAGATATGTATTGAGTCCCAGGGTTGTTTAGGGCTGAACAGTTACGGGGACATTTGATCCCACAGACCTGTTGATTAGATTGCCGAACCCTGTTAGCTTTTTTCTTTTAATTTACTTATTTAATTTTATTATTATTTTAAAATTTGCTATAGGCACATGTGCTCACAAGAGAGAGAGAGAGAGAAAGTAAGTGAGGAAAACAAACCACCAGATTTGGGACTCCAACCATGGTTGGCCAGTGGGAGTTGAGTGCCTTAATTACCACACCACCCCCGCAACCCCCTGTTAACTTTTTAATTCCACAGAGTATGAAATTCTGCCCACAGTCATTACTGTCATTTCTATAATATTTCTTCATCTCGAATATTCAGTGTTATGCTGTTTATGTTTATATGTTCTAGAAATAGTGTGGTTATTTAACAGTATTTACAGAATGTATATACATCATATACCCAGTCTGAGACAGAGTTTGGGCTAATGGCCAAAGTCATCTGTGGGTAGACCAAGGCCTAAACCCAACTGAGCATTTACTGATGGAGAACAACCTTGGAATGGATAGGATGGTACATTTAGGTGCAGAAAACTCAGAGTGGAAGGTGAGACTGGTTCCTAAAGTCTAGACTGTAATAGTGTTTAAAAGCCTCTGTTTATACCTAATTTTTTAAATCAAAAGTATATTTTTGTTTAACATGCTGTTTTTTTGTTTGTTTTTTTGCCATGAGGCTCCTGTGCTCAGAGAGAGAGAGAGATGAAGAGACTGTGTGAGAGAAAAAATGAGAAATTACGCCCCACAGTCCTTTCTCCAGTTTCCTTTTTGGGATTTTGGGTACACCTTCCCACATGCCCAGCATAATTTTGAAGCCCCCAGGTCCAGGACTTAAATCATAATTGGCTATGTGAAAGTCAGGCACTTTAACCACTATGCCACTTGCTGGCCCTAACATGTTGTTTTGAGAGAAATTTTTGCTACAAGTTGTGTGTGCTTGCTGGAGAGGGAGAACAGAGAGACAGAAAGCGAGAAATTATCCCCCCTCCCCGCAATGGCCATGCTGCATTTTCTTCTGGATTTTGGGCACCCACACACACACGCACCCAGTGTGAGTGTAAGCCGACCCCCAGTCAACTACATGGGAGTCCAGCAAGGTAACCATTATGTCAACTGCTAGTCCCACTAATACATTGTTTTTTAATTGAAGGTATGTTTTTTATTTACCACTTTCATTGCTTCCGAATATCAAATCCTCCTTATGCTGAGGAGAACTAGGCAATGAGATGGTTCAGGACATCCTATTTGCCAGGGTATTCTGCCTCATGCTTTGATGGGCCCTGCTGAGGCTGCTTTGTTTCATCTTTATTTTGTCTAGTGGATTGCCCAGGCTACTTCTTTATTATCTTCTCTCACTCCTTTATTGATTTTACCTAGTCTTCTGGCTTTAATACTATCTGCTTGCTGATACCCAACAAGTTTATATCTTCAGTGTGGAGTGCTGACTTATATCTAGCTGCTTATGTAACTTTTCCACTCTGGATGTCTAATAAGACATCCAGAATTGAGCTCCCGATCTCAATGAATGGCACTCAGGTTGTTTTACCTGGTCAGTATCCAAAAAAATGGTGCCATTTTTGCTTTTTTCTCATTCTTAACCACAATCCAAATTTCAGGAGATTTCCTTGGCTCCAGGTTCAAAATATATCCAGAGGTCAGCTATTTTTTATTTAATTTTATTTATTCATTCTTTTGTTTGTTTTGTTTTTTATTTGACCAGAGAGAGAGAGAGAAAGTGAGAAAGCAAGCCACCAGATCCAGGACTAGAACCATGGTCAGCCATGTGGGCACTCCCACATGTCCAGGGCCTTAACCACTACGCCACCTGCTGGTCCCCTGCTACTAACTTGATCCAAACCACCTTCATCTCCCCCAGGTTATTGTAGTACCCCCATTGGTTTGATTGTTTTTGCCATTGTTTCTTCAGTAAATAAACAAGTCAGAGTGATCACATTGAAATGTAAATTGGAGTTTTTCAGTCCTGGAGAGACTCTCCAGTAGCTTCCTCTCAGTAAAAGCTGACCAAAGCTCTCTGAGTCCACAGGCCTTAGGACTATGTTCCTGTTCTTGATTTGCCATCCCTGACCTCTAATTTCTACTTTCATTTCTTTCTCTCTATGCTAACTATTTTACTAGCTTTTCCTTGGTCATTTCCGCCTCAGGGCTTTTGTGTTTACCATTTCCTCTGTTTGGAAGACTTCTAGGTATTTGCATGGATTTGCTCCTTCACTGCCTTCAAGTGACAACTTCTCAAGGAGATCCTAAATTTTAAGATCTTTCTCAACACCTTTTGCCTCTCTCTCCCCTGATGCATATTTCCTCTGAAATATTGTGTTATATATTTTATTGTTTGCTTGCGTCTTATTTGCTGCTGTATTTCTGGTGCCTAGGAGAGTGCAGTTACAGTACATGCTCATTCTTTTCCCGCAGTTTTTTTTTTTTTTTTAAATTTTGGAGAGGTTTTTGCTATAAGGTGCATGCACTCACCAGAAAGACAGAGAGACAGAGACAGAAAGCGAGAAATCACCCCCCAGGGGGGATGGTCACGCCGCAATCCCTTCTCCTCCATTCTCCTCTCGGGATCTTGGGCATTGCACACACATGTGCCTGGTGTGAGTTTAAGCTACTGGGTCCGGGACTCGAACCGTGGTCAACTCCATGGGAGTCCAGTGACATAGCCGTTATGCTAACTGCTAGTCCCACCCCCAGTTTGTTGCTATAGGGCACATGCATTCCCAGAAGAGACAGAGGGAATGGGGGAGTGAGAAATCACTGGGGAGAGAGTTTGAGGGGATGTTGATAAAATTAACCAACTCGGGAACCAGCAGTTAGCATAATGGCTATGTCGCTGGACTCCCACGTAGTCGACCACAGTTCGTGTCCCGGACCCGGTGGCTTAAAACTCACGGCGGGCGCGTGTGCGTGTGTGCCCAAGATCCCGAGAGGAGAATGGAGGAGAAGGGATTGCGGCGTGACCATCCCCCCTGGGGGGTGATTTCTCGCTTTCTGTCTCTATGTCTCTCTCTGTCTGTCTGGCGAGCGCACGCGCCCTACAGTGAAAATCCAAAAAAAAAAAAAAAAAAATTAACCAACTCTGTAGCAATAATAATTAATGCAGTTTATTTCTAAGCAATCATATGAGAGACTGGTGCAGAGAAGGATGAGTTCATTTTTTGGGTAGCTGAGATACAGTGTTTACTTTTGTATAGTTTTGAGGACAGGAGAGTTGTCAATCTGCATAAGTAGTCTTACATTTGTCTGGTCTAAAATGATGGGGACATCTGGAAGCAAACCCTACATTCACTCCACATTCTCCTCTTTCCACATCAACTGCTGAGCTTTTTTTTCATCTCTGTGGATTTGTCTATTCTGGACATGTCCTATAAATGGACTCTTCCTATTCTGGACATTTCCTATAAATGAACAGTTCCTACTGTCATAGGATGGGAGAGTTGAGCAACATTGTGTAAAATTTTTGTTTTTTTAAGTCTAGATCTCTAAGGATAGAGACCTATCCTGTGATGTAAAATGAAAAACCACAAACACTCATAAAGTAGTAAGTGGGAAGTTTTAATAAGAAAGTGAGGATTTTAAATTTTTAATAGAAGTACACTTCCATGCCTGAAAGGCATGCAGGTAGGGAGTTGCCAGAGAAGGACAACTGCACTGGGAATGGGGTTAGGTGTTATACTTATTCTAAGAATTGATCATGGATATTTAACAGTAGGAGGTCTATCATAATATTTGTTTTGTGTTTGAATTTGTGGGCTTTTCCCTGTGCTTCCATATCACTCTCAAAGGTGAGGAATTTGATAACCTAATCTCACATACTCAGTGTAGACTTGGAAGGTATGAGCATCTTCATTCGTACAAATCAGTTTATTGTCCTATTGGGCAATCAGGATGTTGACCAAAATGTCTTGTTGGGTCCTGTTGTATTTATGAGGAATGATAAGAGGGATATTAACAACTGTTCCTATGTGCCTTTCTCAGGTACAATCAATCAATCAATCAATAAATAAATAAATAAATTCTGCCTCACTTTCCTGGGCCAAGAGCTGGGTAGGAGGAAGGAAACACTATAGAGGGTCTAGCTGTAACTCCTGATAAATTGTAATTGATGTAACGAATATCCTTCTGATATTTTTTTTAGGCCTACCCACTCATTTCTAGCTAACTCTACTATCACAAGATCAATATGATGCGGGAACATGGGGGTGCAGGAGCCCAGCACCCTCAGTGGGACATGGGTTCTTGTCTCACACTCAGGAAGAATTAGAGACACTGACAGAGAGGGAAAAGCCAAGGGTTTATTGAAGGAGAAGGAAAGAAAAAACAGAGCTCCCAGGAAGGGTGGGGTTTCAGGAAATGGGTTGCTGAGGAAGAACTGAGATGGGAAGTTGGGGGAGAGATTATGGGGGAGTTTATCTTGGTCAGGAAGGGCTTTGTCTGGTCTTGTCCTAAGTAGGCCTCACACATGGCATTCCCCTCTTAGTGATGGTGGTGAGCACATGCTGTATGGGTCTAGCTATTCTTCTAATTTTGGAGTGGGTATGAAGGTCAGAAGATTCTTTGTCTAGAAGCTTTGGGTCATTAAAAACCATTATCTTCCCAGAATATGATGAAGCCTGGAAAAAAGCCTTTGTTTTAGGACTAGGTCATGCTGCCTAGGTCAGTCACTGAGCCACCATTGCAAGCTGCCTCTCCTGAGCAAGCAGTGGAACTGCTTTGTCTCGTCTTAAAACTTAGCCATTTTGTGATTCAATTTGGGCTTGTACCTTACCTATATTCATAGGATCCCTGTCTCCTACCTCAATTATACATGTACCTTTTTGTTGTTGGCTTTCTTTTTTTAAATTATTTTATTTAACTTTATTTATTCATTTATTTATTTATTTTATTTTGACCAGAAAGGAATAGAGCAAGAGAGAAATTGAGAAAGCAAGCTGCCAGGTCCAGGACTTGAACTACAGTCAGCCATGTGGGAGTCCAGCACCCTTAACCACCATGCCACCTGCCGGCCCCAGGTTGGCTTCTTAGTATAAGGTTTTCAAGGTTCATTCATGTTATATATATCAGTACTTTATTCTTCCCCTTTTTATGACTGAATAAAATCCCACCATATAGGTATATCACATGCTGTTTATCCATTTATTAACTGATGGGAATTTTCACTTTTTGGCTATTATGAATAATGGTACTTGCATAAACAGTTTAAAGGATATGTGAGACTTGTTCACTACTCCTAGAAAATGTGAGAGGGAGAAAAACTTACTTTTTTATAAAAGGTGTTGTTTTTTTTTAACTAAGTGTGTATATTACGTTATAATGAAAACAAACAGAAGACCCTATCACTAGTCACTAGCATGACTATGGATAAGTAATTAATTGTACTTTTGGGTTTCACATCATATCTAAAATTGGACTATTTTCAAGTTCTCAAACTTAATGTATATATGATAAAATGAATGGTAATATTATATTTTCTTTGTGAATGGGAGGTGTATTCTTTATAACTGCAGTATAACTTTCAGTTTATTTTCATCATAGGACCTTGAGTGGTTGTTACAATGGAAGGAATCAGTAATTTTAAGACACCAAGCAAATTATCTGAAAAAAAGAAATCTGGTAAGATAGCGGATGTAAGACCTTTCTTCATTAATTTTAGCAAATAAGGCTATTTTTACTGGCCAGGTCACGTATAGACTCTTTGAAAGAATTATTTATTTTAATTTTATTATTTTTTTTATTCACTAGAGAAAGAGACAGGGAATGCAAGAAAGCAAGCTGCCAGGTCTGGGATAAAACTGTCAGCCATATGGGAGTCTAACACTTTAACCACCACACCACCTGCTGGCCCCATATAGACTCATTTTATTGACATACAACAGATATTGAAGTTCTCTCTGCTGAAGATTCAACATAGCTTGAACAATTAGGGAGCTGCTTTATCTTTACCCTACCCATACATGCATTGCTCTTGTGAGGGAGTGGTATTTTTCAAGGCAATTCAATGGGCAAAGGAAAATCTTTCAACAGACAATTGGATATACATGTGCAAAATATGAACCTCAGCTCTCATCGTGTACAAAAAAAGGCTAAAATTATAAAATTTATGGAAAATAGCATAGAAGAAAATCTTATATTCACTTCTAGTATATAGATGTGTATTACTTTTTCTTTCTTTCCTATTTTAATGTACTGACTCTACTATATTAATGAATAAAAGTGTCACTGAACATACCTGCCTTGTTCCCAATGTATTATGTTAGATGAGGTTTTTCACATATGCCTTTTATCAGGATAGATTTTTTTGTTTCTTTTCTGGTTATTATGAATTCATGTTGAACTTGGTCAAGTGCTTTCACTGAATGTGTTGATAACGCATTTCTTTTGAATCTGTTAATGTAGTAAATTATATTAATTTTCATATATTAAACCAACCTTTCATCCCTTGGGTAAAAGCCAGTTTGGTCATGATATATTTTATAGGTTGCTTTATTTAGTTTGCTGACATTTTCTATATTCATGAGGTATAGAGGACTAAAGTTGTCATTTTTTAGGAATATCTAGTTTTGGTTATCAGGATATTCTGTATTCAGAAAGTCAGGTGGGAAGTGTTTCCTTCTCTTTTCTTGTATAGAATTCCCTTTTCTAAATCTTGATATAGAATTGATAGTATCAGGAATTTTCAAAAAGTTTATTATAAATGCATATTATGAGAAATCTATGCATAGATTTAAAAACTCTTCTACACCAAAATAAACTTGTACCTTAATTCCATGAACTTTTGAAGTTCTCTCAAATTTATTCCTTAACTGGTAGAATTTACAAGGAAAGCCATCTAGTACTGGAGGTTTTTTTACTAGATTTTTAATTTATATCACAGTTAATAGTTACTTGGCAATTCAAGTTGATCTCTTTTTTTTTTCTTTGTGAACTTTGTTAATATTTTTCTTAGGAGTTTGTTCATTATGTCTAAGTTGACAAATTTGTTGGCAAGAAGTTATTTATGATCTACTCTTATTACCCTTCTAATGTCTTTTATTATTTCTGGTACTGGTATTTTACATTTTTTTACCTTTTCCTTAATCATCTGACTTGCAGTTTATCTATCTTGCTAAATGTTGCATGTGCTTGAAAAGGTCATATTTCTCATTGCCGAGTGTAGTATTTCATAAATGTTAATTAAGTTGAACTTGTTGACTTGTTTACAGTTTTTGTTCACACCTTCTATTTCCCTACTGATTTTCTGTACTTATTCTCAACACTCTAGAGAGGAGCATTGATATCTCCACATACAATTGTGGATTTATCTTTTTTTCTTTCAGTTTTACCAGTTGTTGCTTTATATATTTCAAAACTTTGTTATTAGGTATATATACATTGAAGATGGTTATTTCTTTTTATGAATTTACACCTTAACTATTATAAAATGGACTTTTATGTGCTCACCAGGAGTCAGATACAAAAAGAGAAAGAGAGAGGGAGAAAGCACCCCCCCACCACCACCCCACACCATGGAGGATGTGGCCATGCCCAAATCTTTTTTCCTTCATTTCTCCATCTTGTCAGGATTTGGGGCATGCACACACATGGCTGGTGTGTTTTCCAAGCTGCCAGGGCCAGGATTCAAACTGCAATTGACCATGTGGGATTGACTTCCTTAACCATTAGATTATAAGGCCAGTCCCTGAAATGTACTTCTTTGTCCTATATGGTACTGTTTGCTATGAAGTCTCTTTTATGTGATATTAATAAAGGCATTCCAGCTTTATTTTGATTAGTACCTAAATGGTGTGTTTTCCAACATTTTACCTTTACCTTATTTGTGTGTCTTTTAATGTGAATTTATTACAAATTGCTTATAATTGTGTCTTTTTTGTTTTTCATTCTGACAGTTTTTCCTTTAATTGAACTGTTTCACCACTTGCAACATGTGACTAATTAAATTTGGATTCAAATTCATTTAAATTACAAATTTAGTTCCTCAGTTTACAATCAAATTTTAAATGGTCAGTAACTACTTTGTGGCTAGTGGCTACTATACTACACAGCATAGTTACAGAACATTTCCATCATGGCAGTAAATAACACTGCTTAGATCATTTACATTTAATGTAATTATCTGTGGTTGGATTTAAGTCTACTATTTTGCTGTTGTTCCATAGCTCACTGCTTTTTCCCCCCAATTTTTCCTGTTTGTGTTTCATTTTTGGTGGTTTGTGTTGCTCTTAAAGTTGTTATTCTTTCTTTTGCTCTAGCATAATGTTATACTTAGTTATTGTCATTTTTATTCTCTGAGGTTCCATTAGGGCTTTTTCTTATTTTTACTTTCCTTGTTATGCTCAGATTTTACTTTATACCATTGAGTATATGTTTTATTTACATGTTAAGGTTCTTAAAACAAATTTTATCATCTCTGTCATTTGGTATATTTCTATTGGTTTATCTTTCTCCTGCTATAGATATTTTCTTGCTTCTTGCATGCCTGGTAATTTTTGACTGGAAAGTAGATATTTTACATTCTTGAGTGTTGGATTTTTTTTTTTTTGAGAGGTTTTTTTGCTATAGGGCGCGTGCGCTCGCCAGACAGAGAGAGACATAGAGACAGAAAGCAAGACATCAACCCCCAGGGGGGATGGTCATGCCGTAATCCCTTCTCCATTCTTCTCTCAGGATCTTGGGCACGCACGCACATGTGCCCGGCGTGAGTTTTAAGCCACCGAGTCCGGGATGCAAACCGTGGTCGACTACGTGGGAGTCCAGCAACATAGCCATTATGCTAACTGCTGGTTCCCTTGAGTGTTGGATTTTGATACTCCTTTAAAGAGCATTTGATTTTGTTAATGGTCTGAGGTTCAGTTACCTGCATATTAGCCTATTCCTTCTGAGACTTACTTTTAAGCCTTATTATAATATTTTCGGGAACTGAAATATAACTATACCAAATTATGACCCTTTGGAGGGCTTTAATACTCTATGTATTGCAGGTTTACCACAGCTGGTGATGGTAATGTGATCCCTTCCTCAATCTGTTTGTTTTCTGCAATTGTTTAGCCTATTACTTTCCTTTGGTGATTTCCTGTCTTTGGGGAATCCACTCACTGTATGTGCAGACCAATACTTAGCTAGACACTCAAAGTGAGACATTTTCAGAGACTTAGAGATCTCTGTCTCTTTGAGGTTTCCTCCTTTTCCTCTGTTTCACAAGTTCTAATAGTCACTTAGCCCTCCTTGAACCTGATCTCTGTCTCCTCTGTTTGATAAGATGGCCGAGCTATTGTGTCTGCACTGCAGCCTGGTAACTACTACCTTCTAGCATTAATCTGGGGTAATGATAGGGCTCACCTCATTTGTTTCTTTTCTCTCAGGAATTAATAACCCTGGTCTAGTTATTGTTGGATGTCTGAAAATCATTACATTTTGTCAGGTTTTCTGGTTGTTCATGTCAAGATGGCAATTCTAGGAGCAGTTAATTATTCTTGAATAGAACTAATCTTCTCTTTGTTTTAATGATTGTATAGTGCTCTGTAATATATACTGTAATTATATATGTAGTGATCCCTTAGGTTTTTTTGCATCCACAAAAGCAAATCCCATTATTCAGATATATGTGTGCACATTACATGTTTGATCTCTTTACTGTTGTGCAAGGGTCAGGAAATATTTTTATTAAAGGACAGATAGCATACAGTGTAGGCTTTGCGGGCCACTTGGGAACTCTGTTGTATATTCTTTCACTTTTGAACAGCCCTTCAAAATGTAAAAACAATTCTTAAGCTTCTAACCATATGAAAATAGATAATTTACCAACCTCCATTTCAGCATTATTATAGAACAGAACTCTAAAAGTAGGCTTGGCCAAAGGGTATCCATTTAAAATAGGGACAAACACTATCAAATTGCCAATAATACTTTGCCAGTAAATACTGAACCATAGTATATTGAGAATGATAGGGTGCTTTTGTGGAGGTGTTTTCAAATGCTAACTGTATTTTTTATTTCTCTTGATCTTTAGTACTATGTTCAACTCCATGTGTAAATATCCCTGCTTCTCCATTTATGCAGAAGCTTGGCTTTGGTACTGGGGTAAATGTTTACCTAATGAAAAGGTGAAGATTTCAGGTTTACCTTTTTGTATGGAACCATAATACTGCTGAATTTGGAGACAAAAAAGGAATATGAAAATCAAATAAAATAGGGACAAACACTATCAAATTGCCAATAATACTTTGCCAGTAAATACTGAACCATAGTATATTGAGAATGATAGGGTGCTTTTGTGGAGGTGTTTTCAAATGCTAACTGTATTTTTTATTTCTCTTGATCTTTAGTACTATGTTCAACTCCATGTGTAAATATCCCTGCTTCTCCATTTATGCAGAAGCTTGGCTTTGGTACTGGGGTAAATGTTTACCTAATGAAAAGGTGAGTATAAGATTTCAGGTTTACCTTTTTGTATGGAACCATAATACTGCTGAATTTGGAGACAAAAAAGGAATATGAAAATCAAATATTTAGATTTAGGATATGTTCCTGATCCTACCTGACTGCTATCTTCCAGTTCCTGGAACCTTTTATAACTTTGCTAGCACTCTGCTTTGTATACTTTTTTCCTTTCTTCTTGATTATTAAAGAAGAAGTAGTTTGCCTTGTATCTTCTCCATGGCTTTTAAAGAAGGGGAAGTGGCAGGGGAAAAGGTCCCTTTGTGGTAATACAAGAGTCTCAAGAAAACCTCAAGAAGCCGCCACTATGGGGGGTGGGGGTTCCATGACTTATCTGCCTTACCATGATACTCTCTTCTGAAAGAAGTAGAAAGTTTTTCTTTCTTATGACATCATTATTTTTTGACATCATTATTAAGTAAGAAGGATAATACATTGTTTTAAAGTAGGAAAATTGTTTTAAAATAAACATGAAATAATTGAACAGGTATGGTGCTAATAGCTAATAATAAGACTGTTAACAAACACAATTTTGTTGATTTTCTAAAATTATTTTTTAAAATCATGATTCAGTATCTAGTTTCATTCATATTCAAATGACTGTCTTAGTCCATTACTGCATTGCTAATAGAAATACCTAAGACTGCGTGAATTATAAGGAAACAGGTTTATTGACTCACAGTTCTGGTGGCTAGAGAGTCTAAAGATATTGTGAAATGGAACTTTGAGCAGAGAATTCTCTGTATCTGTGTGGCTCTGCCTGCCTCATTTCCTTTCCTTCTATACACACCAGAACTCAATCATGGAGACTCTGCCCTAATGACTTTATCATATCCAGTATCCCCACACTGGGAAACCAGGAAGGGGTTCAGTTCTCACTTAACACCTTTACAATACAACCACATGCCAGTACTTGAACCTTTGGGGGGGGCACTACATTATCTAAACTGTAACAGTGCACACAACTAAGTCAACATACATTCCTTAATGCTTTCTTAGAATCAGCAGGACTAATTCATCCCTGCAAATGTTAACTTCATCTAGGTATATTGTTTCCAAATAGAAATGCTTTCTTTAATAAGAGGCTAATGAAATAAGAACAGCCTAGCAATTATATGTGTAGGTATTCCTGAAGAATTTTTGCTATTTAAACACTCTTTGTATATTTATATGATAATAATTCATCATGTAAATACTTTTTAGTGTTTAACTCCTAAGTTATTTTGAAAGAAAAAAATTCTCACAGGTCCATGGATTCATAAAGCTAGTCTCATTCCACCCCATCCCCCCTTAAAAAATGTTTTTAGGGGCAAGCAGATGGCATGATGGATAAAGTACTAGACCTTCCATATGGCCAACTGTAGTTTGTGTCATGGACCCAGTAGCTTGACAGTCATAAAATTCCTAGAAGAGAATGGAAGAGAAGGAATTATGGCATAGGCATCCCCCCTAGGGGAGGTGGTTTCTCACTTTTCCTCTCTTTGTCTCTCTCTCTCTGGACAGTGCATGGGTCCTATAACAAAAACCTAAAAGAATAATATAATTTTTTTTAAACAAAGTTATATTGGATATGACTTAGTCACAAAGTTTCATATTGTTGATCTTAAAAAATGGCAGTTCCTTCCTCCCTCTGCCACTCCTCATGTAGCCCTATCAACCTGATGATGTCCTTTATTAATCACTTGGACATTTCTGTTGCTTCTCTGCTGAATTGAATGCTGATTTTTCTGTTTATGTCTTACTATTTCTTGGTTTACATCTTGTTTTAGTTAAGTACATCTGTGAAAAGGTACACAAGTGATATGTTTTTGAGAATTTGCATTTCTTCTTTCAAGTTTTTATTATAAGGCATGTGCATTCACCAGGGGTGAGGGGGGAGAGAGAGAGAGAGAGAGACAGAAAGATAGGCAGAGACTCCCAACAGGGGCTTCATTTTGTGACCTACCTACCCAGTCTCAGCCAGCTAGGTTTGTGTCTGGAGACCTGTGCATATGGATCCTGGCTGGCTACAGCCTGGGCTGGAACACTGAATGAAAACCCTGTTGGGGGTGCCTGTGTCTCTCTGTAGCTCATGAAAGAAATAAGCAATCAAACTTAAAGGATAGTTTAAACTTATGGATGATAGATGTATCTGAATTTTTAAAATCTTGTTATTCTTCAAATATAGGCTTTTCAATTAAACTAACAAGAAGTTCTGGAACCATAGAGCTATACCCGTTAGTACAAAGCTAAATGAATCATCAGTTGAATCCTTTGTTATTATGGTTAAATTTTTTTTGTCTTGAACTTTTCGTTGCTCTTTCACTGGCTTTCCTGCCCTTAGGCTGTGTACACGTTGTCTTCTGTGATTTTCTGAATTCATAAGTAAATTCTTGCTTGTCAAGTAAACCTTTCCTTGTCCTTGTTTCACATATTTGTTTATTTAGACCTTAAAACATTTATAACGTGTCATCATTTTTCTTCTAGTTCTCTCTTATTGCCCCCTTCCTTCCAGTGTATAGATGTCAGACTGTTCTCTGTATGTCAGATAAGTTATCTTGCAATTAAGATAGAAATGATAGTCTTAGATCTCTTATTTATTAATTATTAATTTACCAGAAGGCTCATATGCTTGCTGGAGAGAAAGTACTCCCAGTGAGGCATGGTCACACTGTAGTCCCTTTTCCTCCATTTCTCCATCCTTTTGGGATTTGGGGCACACACACACATGTATTCTGCCTGTTCTTCTAGCTGCTGGAATTGAGATTCAAACTGTACTGTCAGCCATGTGGGACTTGGCTCCCTTAACCACCAAATCATGGGTCTGGCCCAATCTGGATATTTAAAAAAAAAAAAACATATATAATGTGTGTGTGTATATATATATATATATTGTCTAATAATAACTTTTTTTAAAAGATCTCCAAGAGGTTTGTCTCATTCTCCTTGGGCTGTGAAAAAGATTAATCCTATATGTGATGATCATTATCGAAGTGTGTATCAAAAGAGACTAACCGATGAAGCTAAGATTTTAAAAAGCCTTCATCATCCAAACATTGTAGGTAAGTTTACATTTATTTGGTATTCTGCTTATCTAGAAACAGTTGTGTATTCTCATAAGTGGTTTCATTAATAAAAATAGTGAGCACAGGATTGGAGCTTCTCAGGAAGCAATGTGAGTAGTCTAAAATAAAATTTTGTGTATAGTAATTTTAGATGCTTTAGTATATACTTAAACTTCATAGAAATAGATAAAGTCATTATGATGCTGGGACTATGAAGATTTTAAAACTGTGAAACTTCATTTAGATTATTTAAATCCATTTAGGTAATTTCAGTATTCATTTTGCAGTTTTAATAAAGTAAGTCTGGTAGAAACCATTACACAAGCAAGTGTAGAGGAGTAAAAATATCACACTACTGGCAGATACCGAAGGCATTTGAAGTTAGACCTAGTGAGTTTGTTGTATAAGAAAGAAAGAAAGAGAAAAAGGGGCCAGCAGATGGTGTAGTGGTTAAGGGTGTGGTGGCCGACTGTGGTTCAAGTCCTGGACCTGGCAGCTTGCTTTCTCTCTCTCTCTCTCTCTCTCTGGTCAAATGAAAATAATAAAATAAATAATAAAGTGTTAAATAAAAATAAAAAAAATTTAAAGAAAAAAAAGCTTTTTCTTTTTTAAAACTCACGTAACTATAGTTAGTTGATTTTCAAAAATGGTGCCAAGTCTATTCAATGAGGAATGAGTAATCATTTTATCAAATAATAATAAGGAAAACTGAATATCCATGTGCAAAAGAATGAAGTTGGATATATTCTTCATACCTTATACAAAAATTAATTTAAAATGAATCAAAGACCTAAATTTAGGGATTAAAAGTAAAAATATTAGAAAGAAACAGGGAAAATCTTTGTGACCTTAGATTTAGCATTGGTTTCCTAAATAGGATACTGGAAAGCACAGGCAACAAAAACAAAAACATAGACAAATTTGATTTCATAAAAATGTAAACATTTGTGCATGAAAGGACAGTATCGGGAGAGTGAAAACTCACAACAAAAAATATTTTTGAATCATGACGGATATAATGTCCTGAATATATATATTTTAAAAATTTTATAATACAATGAGAAGACAAACTCTAACTTACTCATATTTAGAAATTTCTTCTTTCAGAGAATGTCAAAACAGTCTTGGCAAATTACTGGTGTCTCCTATGGCAGTTGCTTATTATGGCTTAAGGACTCTGGGCCTAAGTCAGTTTTCAGTTTTGCTTTTTCAGTTTACTTTATACATTTAATCACTATACATCACTCACCTTGTATGATGAATTTACCCAACATGAATACTCTTCAAACCAGTCCAGTTGAGGATATAAAACACATTATTACCAAAGATTATAATCCATTTCTGTGTTCCATTAATGTCTTGCCTCTCTAGTTTCCTCCTTAATTTCTTTCCTTACAATCTCCCCCTTCTTCCACCCTCTTCCCACAAAAAAAAAATAAATAAATAAAATAAAATAAAAAAATCTTTTTTCGGACCAGCAGTTAGCATAATGGCTATGTCGCTGGACTCCCATGTAGTCGACCACGGTTCGAGTCCCGGACCCGGTGGCTTAAACTCATGCTGGGTGCGTGTGCATGCGTGCCCAGGATCCCAAGAGGAGAATGGAGGAGAAGGGATTGCAGCGTGGTCATCCCCCTGGGGAGTGATTTCTCGCTTTCTGTCTTTCTC